TCCCATTTGTTGGAAAAATAATGAGGCACATGCCACTAATTGTAAGAGGAGCTCGGCCGAAAATCGCTTCAACGGTTACAAAGCTCCAAAGTTCGTTCCGTTTTTATTTAATTGATGCCGTTATTGTTACGTGTCCCACCATGTCATACCAAACGGCGCTGAAAACGTGTTTATTCGCTTTAATAGTTAATCTTTGACACTTTTCCCATTGATTGACTCGGTACGTTGTGAGCCCTCGCCAAAGATGGACACCAACAAAGAGAAAAATCGCTATATTTTACAATTTTCATTCAATCAAGGCAAAAAAGCAGACAAAGTCGCAGAAAATATTAATTTACTTTATGGACTCGATCCTGTAAACGAACGTGTGGCCCAAATATGGTTTGCTAGGTTCCGTTCCGGTTATTTCGATGTCAAAAATACCCCACGCGTCGGGAGGCCTGTCGTTGAAAATGGCGATAAAATCATGGAAATAGTGGAAACAGACCGTCACGTGAGCACTTATTCAATTGCTGAGGAAGCTGAGGAACTAAAGATAAGCCAGAAACCCGTTTGGAGCCTTTCGCATAACCTTGGATCCAAAAAGAAGCTCGATATTTGGGTGCCACACGAACTAACGCAAAAAACATGACGGACCGAATTTTCATCTGCGAATCGCAACAAAATCGACCCGTTTTTGAAGCGGATTTTGACTGGCGACGAAAAATGGGTCACATCGAGCGCAAACGGTCGTGGTCAAAGCTCGGGGAAGCGCTCAATTTGTCCCTCTACTGCCAACTCATATATAATTTGTATGCGTAGGAGCGGTGGCTTTCAATTTGTTTTTGTTAAATCTAAGAATACCAAATCCTTTGCAATTAGTTTTAGTTATTAGAACTAGTTTTCCTTTTCCAACTTTAGAACGATCGACTTAAATGGAGACGGGATAGCTGAGTATAGATCAGACGAAATTCCACCATCAACGCAAAAATAAATTCGCCATGTGATTCCCTTCGGATTTACAGCCAAATAATATTCAGTGAATGCCAAATTATAAATGGAACGATTGCATCGTCCTTAACGACTATTTCAAAGTGGTTCCAAAGATTCCAGACCGAACATTTGTCCATAGAGGAATAGCCCCGAGAGGGTCGACCAAAATCTCACACTAATGACGTCACTGTAACTCTTTTGAAATCCAAAATTGGCGCAGACCCACTATTGATTGCTAATGAATGGGTACCACGAATTTTAAATGAGGCCCTAAAAGAGTCTCAAGTGCATTTGGCTCAATTTTTCCTAAACAAATTCGAAAATGGTCAGTCTAGCAACTTTAGTAAAGTCGTTATTGATGAAGAATCGTGCTGATATAAGTACGATCCAGAAAGCAAACAGCAGTCCATGGTATGGAGCTCAACAGGAGCCAACATACCCGTAAAATCTAAGCAACAAAAATCAGCAGCAAAAATAATGATGTCAGTTTACTTCACCCGATCTAAAGTCGTTGCTGTTATTCCACTGGAAAATGGTCAGACGGCAACTGCATCATGATACACCGAAGAGTGCTTACCAAATGTTTTAAAAAATCTGTTGGAAAATAGGAAGAAAGAGTGTTTGATGCGCTATTTTTTATATCATGACAACGCGTCACCCCACGCTGCTGAAATAACTAGTAAATTTTTTGCAATCTCTGGGAAAAGAAATACGTCCAGCACCATATTCCCCGAATGTGATTTCGGGTTATTTCCAAAAATAAAAAAAATTAAATTAAAAGGAAAGATCCTTAATAGTAACGAGGAGATAATTAATGGGGTTAATGCTGAACTTGATAAACTTAAAAAGTAAGATTTTAAAGACTGTTTTCAGAGGTGGATCTATGGGCTTAAGAAGTGCATTGAAGCTACTGGCGATTATGTAGAGATAATAAAAAGGTTTACAAATAAATACAAAAATATTTTTTTTTGTTCAGCTTACCGAACTTTTGTTAATTTCCTTGTATATGCAAAGGCTATTCAAATTCAATTTAATAAAACATTCTAAAAGATTAATGATTTTTTTTTTGATTTTGAATTATATAAAACTTTCGTGGAAAGCAACTCTTCACATTTTTACTTTAGAGTAGGCGAAATTTCTAGTGTTTATAGCGCTCATCAATGAGGGTTTTATATTAAGTTTTTTTTTACATAAGTACGTATATATACATATAAATAAATGGCCTTTTGTAACCACTGAACCTCCTAAGCTCCTACTCTATTTTAAGCAGCTTACAGTTTATCCTGAGCCATCGCCTCCTAACAACTGATGTATTTGTATGAAGAGCTTTTTATTTTATGTCGGAGAGAAGTTTATGTCTCGGAGATATTGGCTTTTGACATTCCCTGCGCTTCTTGGTGAAACTAAAAGAGACCCTCTGGAAGCAACATTTAAATTTATTCCAAAAACTTTTTGGTCTCATCAATCGACATATTCGTACTAAAGGATAGATATCTAGCATGAAATTGTCCAACGTGTCTTAAACCTCCGAACATACTCTAAAGTTCGGGAGATCAGAAAATTTAGAAATTAAAGCTACAAATATACTGACGGTCTCAAATAGTTTATGTTTGCTCGTATGGTTTGTGAAGGAGCGCCAACTGGTCGGCTTTTCCATTGTTGTCCTTCTATGAAAAGCCACTAAATTGATGTGATAATCTTGAGAAGAAAATATTGGCGAGACGCAATTACTTTTCATAAAAAAGGGAGTAGCCGCAATACGGGCGTATGAAGAGTTTTAGTAGTCAGCAGATAGAAAAAATAAACGAAAATTCCTTGAGAAAGTTCTTCGGCTTCCTGTAGGTGTCAATGCCATGGCAACAATTATCATCGCCCAAAGCTACTGAGTTTCAGAGAATGCGGAGTTCATGGTAGGAACTCTTTTCTTACCTGCTTGCTACAGCAAACTCCTCAATATTAGCTGTCATCCACGATGAAAGTTCTGACTGCACTATTTTTCCTAACATTTTCCCGAAGAGGCTTGGGATTTTGACGGATCTAGTTGTAGTCCAGACACGGGAATATCATATTCACTTATGTACATACGTTCTTATGAATTGTTTTGCGTTTGCGAGACTGAGACTCATTCCAATTCATACGTTCGCCAACCCGGAAGAGTCAACAGATATTCATAGTAGACGCTTTTGCAGATATATAACATGCACTAAACGATTTACTTAAAAGAGAGTCTAGCTTCTTTTCATGCCCATAGTCAAGTTCTGGCTTTGGGACTCGGGAATTGTGATCTGAAACTAATGAATGAATAAATCGGTTGTACGGGAGCTAAATGTAATATGTAGTAGGCCGATTTCATGATTTTCAATGGCTCAAAATTACATATCTGTAACAATCATAAAGTCGATCGATCTGGTTGGTTCCGACAAATGATCAATTCATTAAAAAAATATAATTAAGATCAGTTCAAATATTTCAAAAACTTGTTAGGTCTGTATCTTCACTCTCTGGAACTTACACCAATCGGACCAAGGTATATTTACCATTTCGCGTTCTAAAAAGATATGATGAATAGTGGAAGTTTTACTTCTTGAGTCATCGCAATGGCCCTACCTTACGCATTTATGTGTTACGCTCTTAGGGCCAGGCTCTTCAACCTAATTTAACAGAACCTCTAACAAAAAAAAATGCTTGTGTTCAATTGTATTTTTATCTACAGCATCAAGTGCGATGCATAAACCAACGAAAGGGACTTCACGTTGAAAATAGAGGGTGATTTTTTAAGAGCTATAGGAAAGTTAAAACAAAGCACATGAAATTCAGAAAAATGCATGAAATCTTTATTTGAATCGATAGGACGGTCCATATAATTTAATGTTTGAAGATTATTTCATGCAAATGTTGACCGTGACTGCGCCTCAAATGGTCCATCCGCTTAGTCCAGTTTTGGCATACTCTTTCCAACATTTCGGCCGGTATCTCACGAATAAATACTTCAATCTTGTCCCCCAATGCGTCAATTGAAGCGGGCTTATCTGCATAGAGGTTTAACATAGCCCCACAAAAAAAAATCTAGAGGCTTTAAATCGCACGATCTGGGCGACCAATTGACCGGTCCCGTACATGAAATAAAATGTTCACCGAATTCTCATATTAATGAGTCCATTTTTATGCGTGCTGTGTGGCATGTGGCACTGTTTTGTTGAAACGACATGTCATGCAACTCAAGTTCTTGCATTTTGGACCAAAAAAAGTTTGATATCATCTCAGGGTAGCGCTCACCATTCACAGTTACGTTACGATTCGACTCAACTTTGAAGAAATTCGGTCCAAAGATGCCACCAGCCCACAAACTGCACCAAACTGTGACTTTTTCTGGATGCTTTGGTAGCTCTTGCAATGCTTCTGCTACAAAACATGAAACGTGCGTCAGCTTTTTAAACCAGTGTTGCCAAAACATAATATCTAAAAATCACCCTTTACATATAAAGCTAAGAGCTTTCTATATAACCGTCGAGGGGTCTTGGTTACTTTAACGCCAAAATTCTCTTCAATGAGTTTGAGTTTGTCTGCCTCAAATGAAGTCACTAATGTTGATCGATCGTTTTTCCCTGCTGTGAGCAGCCAAATTATTTTCATTTCAACAGACGTCTTAGACAAATTGCAACTTAGCAAAAGTTCTATAACTAGATTCATTCCAACATGTCATGACGACTACCAACCACACGCTACACCAGAATATTGAGATTACATGGCACAGAGGTAATGCGAGGCTGCCATTGACCTCTGGGGAATTAATTATATACAAACAAACATATAATGCCTGAAATATTAGCCGTAATTTGTGTATAAATTTATGCCTTTCGATTACTCATTTAAAATTATAATTTATACACGCCGCGGCGTAGGCGGGAGTGAGTGTATGAGACGAAGCAAGTCAGCTCACTAGTTGATATGCTTAATATAATATTTTAATATATATGTAATTATGTATGCAAATGTGCGCTCCTGCAACAACTAGAGATGATACTTACCGTTACAATTTGTTGACTTTCGCACTACAGGCGATGGTTACGTTGCTGGTGACTATGTTGAACCGAAAGTGTCTGTATAAAAAAAAATGTTTTCGGTTTTTTGTTTCTGTTTTACTTTAAGATTGCACTTTCTTGCGTGTGGCTTATATTACTGCCCCCCTTTTTTTTTGCTTTTTAACCGACGCGTTGCACTTGACGTTTGTTGCGTTAATTAGTTAAGCCGTTGGGTAAATAGAAATAGTAGTTGTTGTTGGTAATATTATTGTTGTAGGTTTTAATTGGTTTTCCTTTTTTACTTCAAGTTGCACTGTTAAATGTTGAATTTACTTTTCGTTGCATTGATATACACATACTCATATGTTTGTATGTATGTAGATATTGTAGTTGTAAACTATTTGTGCTTTAATTGGTAACATAAGAACTTTAAGCAAGCTTTTTACCACATTTATTGAATTTTTTCAATTTATATTTTTTATGATTTTTGTGGCGAATTCTTTCGCTATATTTTACAGACAAAACTTTATCATAAATTTGCCGTTTTTATTTTTTATTAATTTTTTTTTTAATTTATTTATTTTTTTTAATTTTGTGGAAAACAGAATTCTAGTAAGCTGTAAATTAAATTAATTAAAAACAATAAGAACCAGGATTTTACTTGCTTGGCTTTTCTTAATAAACATTTGGTGTATACAAGCAGTCACTTTCGGCCGACCTTCGCCGCCGATTTGCGGTGGTTCTCTTGATTTTTTGCTGGGCTCACCTAGAGCTTATTTTAAACGACCGCCGATCGACTGATCACCTTTTATGAGGATCTTTAATTTCATGTTAGAAATACACTTGACGTACTTTGACTTTCCCTGTCAAGGGACGACCGCCAGAGCTCGAATCCTGACGACTGACAGTACGTACAGCCATCAAGGCCGCTATCGCTTCAGCAGTTACAAAGTAACATAATGGAATGATACACGCTTCAACAACGCATTGAAATTATTAAATTTCACTATAAAAATTTCATCGAAAAATCATCTTGACTCATGAGGGCCAGACGAAAAATCGCTTTAGCGGTTACAAAGCGTCAAATAAATATATATATATATATACATATATTAGGTGTACCGTTCCGCTAGCAAGCAGTTTGGCACTTTTGCCCTCAATACCTTTGTGGCTTGGAACCAAATATATATACCCATCCGTTTACCCGAGGTTGTCCTGTCTGCTGCTTCCTTGCTTCTAGGGACATGGGAGATTATAGACTTAATTGCCGCCTCTCTATGAAAATATATTGTATAATGATCATCAATAATTTTCAGAATAAATGAAAATCCGTTTCTGTTCAGCCGATTTACGTGAAGTCTCATCTGTTCCCATAGCTCTTCTTGAATAATATCTTTCCGAGCATACAATTAAGATAAGGGATATGTAGAGAGAGTGATAGGCTCAAAATACATATTGGCCTAGTAAAAAGAAATTCATTATTTAAAAGTAGTATCATTATGCCTCATTCAAAGAAACTCTTGTTCCATTCGTCTTGGACAGGAATATATGGTAAAGATTTGGCGCGTTGTACGGACTTTAAGATGGTTACTAGCAATCTCAGCAGCCTTCCGCCTGGTAAATACTGCAATACTCTGAAAGTTTGGATGGGTCGCGGAAGATCTAGCTCAAAGCAATATACTTCTGCGCCTACTCCGTCATCCCTTACGTATATAAAAACCTTCTTTTTCAGATGAAGCGTGGGGGTATGCAGTTTATTTTATACTCCAAACCTCGACATATCAAGCTATGTCCGAAGGTTAATTCATTTAAGAATATTAATTCCATGGCGAATTTCGATGTCTTACTCGCCACAGTGATGGCGATTAGTGGAACGTCAAGTGCTGCCTTTGTAACAGGACCATGCACAGTGCAGCGAGCTGAGATGATCGCTCCAATCGAGATTTTGTTGGTAACCAGCCAGAGCCCCACAGAGCAATGTCGGCTTAACAACCGCTAAGTAACACAAAGGCATGTGACCAGGAGAATTGCCTAATGCATCTTTTCGTTATTTATATTTGGGTCTTTTAACATATTTTTTTAGTAGTTTTTGTTTATTACTTGTTTCTGTTACTCGTCTCTGCGTGCAATTAACCTCTGTGTAGCCAAATAAATGTGTTTTTATGGTCTAAGTTTCTTACTTTCTATGGTTTTGTATACGAGGGATGGTTCTGCAATTGTGGAGCGTAATTTATGTCAGTTTGGGTTTTAGCTTCTTGTATGTTTGAAGGGTTTGAGGGGAACTTATGGCTGAGAGTTGATATCTCTTTGGTGTGTAAATTATGTGTGTCAGCGAATCCTCATCCTTCTTCAGAAACTGCACAGTAGAAGAGATAGAAGAAATTAAAAAAAGTGTAAGCAAAGGCTCAGCGCGGTTTATCCAGTAAAACGGTCCTATTAACCACGCTAAACAACAAAAACCCATCCAACAGCATCAAATAGACAGAAATGATATGCGCCCTAGAATCAAACTTTCGAATTCCGACTTATCTAAGTGGGATTACAGAGATGCCTGAGCGAGCACGATCTAATTTACGAAACAAAGCACAAAGAGCGCTGGAAAATTCCACATCTATAACTGCACTGGGGTCTATCCTTGGCCCTGATCTCTGGAATGCCAGCTACGATGGCATACTGGGTATAAACTGACCGGACGCCACGCGTTATCTCGTCGCACATGCAGATGTTATGACAGTAGTCATAACTGCGAAGAATATGGAGGAAGCAGAAATCGGAAGCTAAATCAGGTCAAAATCAAATCGACACGGTCTCAAAGTAGCAACGGAGAAAACGAAGCTCCTCATGCAAATAGCAAAACATTGATATGAAGTTGATATGAGGATCTTCGGCGAGATCGCAAAGACCCAAAAACCAGTCAAGTAAAGGGGCTAGAGAGTGCCACCATTAGAGCAGCACAGGTAACCGTTGCGTTCAGCAAATAAATGACGAAATTTTACCGATCAGCTGGCAACCAGCGTCGATAAATAGGAGCCCATAAAGCGATATACAGAAAAAGCGAAGCCAGGATGCAGGCTCAACAGAAGGCTTTTAACTAATAAAAATATGGTTAGCCACCCTAAAGCAATACGGAAGTGGTCCCAGTTTTTTATTCGCCGAACATACCGCTATTGCGATGGCACAGTAACGATGCAATAGGCATTTTTCTAAACTCATCAGCTCAAAAAATAATATTTTGTCACTATTATTTGTCTCTACGCTCAAGGAATTTTTAATTTTCCTTCAGTCCTTTTACACTTAGGTATGCATTTTTCCACTATTCTTGAAGTAACTTTGTACAAACCATAATTCCGTTTGACAATAACTTAAGAATCTTTTCGGGGTTCCACAGCTGGACCAAGTGAGTTTCAAACACTTGTCATTATTAAAAAAAAAAGTTTAAAAAAAAATTTAAAAAAAAATTGAGTATTCCATATTCGAAATTCAAATTCATTATTTAAAAAAATTCCAAAATTTGTTTTGCTGAATTTGAAAAGATTTTTTTTTGTTGATGAGAAAATGAGTTGCAGCTGGCCGCTTGCTACACGCACTTCGGTTTTGGGATTAAGTGAAAAATATTTCAAATCGGATTTATGACTATTGAATTTAATTTTTTTATTTTTTTTTAAACAACTTTGCCAATATTTCAGCACATTGAACATTAAAATTTCACTTTGTCGTATGTATGTATCATACATTTGCATATTATATACATTTATTGCCTTATCGCACAAAACACTAACGAATTTTCGCAATTTTTCGCGAATTCTCTTGCCCTTTATGGTATAAAAAATAAGAAAAAAACACACAAATAAACTTTTGTTAAAAGCACACACCACTCTACATGTGTATATGTATGTATGTAGACTGATTTCGCCACAAACACTGTTGCCACTTGGCAGCTACAGCGACTATTGATTTTGTCTTAGGTTACGTTGTGCCATTATGCTGCAATGCGTTTTGTTGTGCTTTGTTGTGTTGTGTTGTTGTTTTGCGGCATTTTGTTAGCCGAAGCGGCAGTTAAAGTTGGTGAAAATTTTCGGATCAACGCCGAAGATATTACAGCTATAACCGCCGCTGCTGCTGCCTGCTGGTGCTGCTACTGCTGTTGCTGTTGCCGATAGTCGTTGCTGGTACAGTGCAACACCGGAAACTAACTGCAACGCATTGCAGTCACTAAATACTATGCACATTTTAGAACACACATACACACACACATACACGTATATATATGTATATTTATTCTACACATACACTCTTGCACAAGCGCATGCGAGTGTGTTTAACTTAACAAAATATACGAGCGCAAAAGATAAAAATTTGTCGCTAGCACAAGAATTAAAAACAGAAAGAAAAAAACTTTGCATTTACTTTATGCAATCTAAATTGAATTTCACCAGTCTTTTTATTAAAAGCTTACACTTAAATTTTTGTAATTTCACATAAATTTTCGAGGAAAAATAAACAAAAATCACTCACTCCCACTTTACAGTGACTTTTTTTTTGCTAAAGCTAATTTGAAAATTAGTCACACAGCGTGGAAAATTTCACAAATTTTCAGCCGTTCACAATTTGGCAAAAAAAAAATTTTTTGCTACAAAAATATTTTCTTTTTTTCTTCACACAAATAATTCTTCTTGTCTAGTAGCAGTCTTGTGTGCTGGCTATGAGCAGCTGCAATACATTAGTGTTTGCAAATAATTTGCTGCGCTACGAGCAGCAACACTTATTCCTGCCTGTGAAAATGTCTATTTACTTGCCACACACACACAATCACTTTGTCTCTCTTGTACTCTTTCTCTCTCATGCGCTCTCCCTTTATACTAAAAAAAATTAAAAATTCTTATGTGACAAAGTTTTCCTTGCGTTTATAGCTGCTCGTGGTGGCTTTTCCACACTTTGCCGCACTCACTCTCTCTCTCTCTCGCTCTCTCTTTCTCGTGCTTACGCTCGTGCTCTCATTTTCTTTATTTCACTTTGGCAAAATGTACGAAAATAAACTTTTGAGTTCATTTACATTTTCACATTTCATGAATTTTCGCATTTTCACGTTGACGTTATAAAATGATTCTGGCTGAACATACAAGAAGACACTGTGAAATATGCTGAAAACTATGTTTTGTACAATATGTCATATTTATCTATGTCGGTTGTACGCTGCGTATGCGTGACGAGGCCAAAAGCACGTGTCATTGGTTACGTATACGACGCGTAGGCCGGTTGCTTCATTATTTATGAAAGAGAAATCATATTTTTACCCCCTCTGATTTGTATTTTGTAGAGGAAAATGGGCACACTTCTGGTTGCTCAAAAATATATATGTATTTAACATTAAACGAGAAATTCTTGGATATATTTCATCTTATACACACATACATATATACGCCTCGCAAACAATTTCCACTGAATTTTATGCAATGGTACTGGTCTGCATTTGTAGGTTGCCAGTTTTTCAAATTTTTTATGAAA